CCCCCCGGTGTGATTGCTCCTCCGGTGTCGAGCCACTTTCTGGTTTAAACCCCGTCCCCGCTCGAAAGCTGCCTGAGGCTTCCGCTTTTTGCCCACCATTTTTTTTAATGCGTCAGCGGTGTGCGCATAGGTGGAGCTCCACCACCGCATTTAGAAAACCGACATTTAAACAGTCACTTGTTTTAGCATTTAGGTGAGTTCAGGATCCCACGGAGGCCATTTTCGGGTCAAACATTTAAAGGGAAGTCTTTTGTTGGAGGGGTTGGATTGATTCGCCCTGGTGGTTCTGCGCATGCGCCATGGTAGTTTCGCCCCCCCATTCTACTGAGAAAACTGAGGGGGGGGGGAATTAAAACTCTGCCAACACACGCTCCCGCACGTCAGTAGTCTAGACACCGGGGAGCGATGTGACTGCGCAGTGAGGTGGGATAAGGGAAGTAACTGTGATCGCGATTATCCAGATCAAATATAATCTGGTTAGAACAGGAGCAGTTTAACCCGCTCTCAGCACGCCGTCTGACCGCACCCCATATGTCCTTTAGAGCACATATGAGGAGAGGCAGTCCTGTCGATAACACAGTTTCGTAAGTTCGTGGATGAAAACTTACAGCTACGCTCTTCTGCCAGGAGCCTACGGCTCAGTGGCTGAGCACCCACTTGAGGTCCTGATGTGCCCCCGTTTACTGCCTGGCGTCTTAAAAGGACCTCAGGTCACAGGTGCTGGGAATGGTCTCTCTCTGCCCAAGACCCTGCAGAGTCACCGTCTCTCGTGAGCAGTGTTCCCTCTAAGGTGAGTTAGGGTGAGCGAGCTCACAGTTTTTTAGCCTCTGGCTCACACATTTTGTTTTAGCTCACGAAGGATAGCTCCAGATACTCCCTCTGAGCTGTGGAGCCTTGTGAGCAAAAATTCTACTTGGTGAGCTGCTGGCATTAAAGTTGTGAGCGAGCAATTTGGCTACTGCCTAAATTGAGCTTAATTGCCAGGTGTCTTGCATAGAGTTTCCCAATCGTAGAGAGGAGGCTGATCGGCCTATAGTTACTGGGCAACTCACGGTTACCTTTTTAAAGGATTGGCACTACTGTAGCATTCATCCAAACTTCAGGCATTTCACCTGATTTATCTATGGCAGTAAAAAGGGCCGCCAAAAAGACTAAGATGTGTGAGCTGGAGGCTAAAAAAACTGTGAGCTAGCTCACACCAACTCAGCTTAGAGGGAACACTGTTCCAGAGCAAACTAGTTTATGCAGTAGCCAAATTGCTCGCTCACAACTTTAATGCCAGTAGCTCACAAAGCAGAATTTTTGCGCACAAGACTCCACAGCTTAGGGGGAGCACTACTCGTGAGCAGACAATACCGGGATAGACGGACCAATGGCGTGGCTTGGTTGAAAGCATGCTCAAATTAAGAGGAAGTCTGGACCAGGCGAGTGATTGACCATCCCAAATATGATCTCCTTATGCTTACAGTGGGAAGGCACCAGAGCTTGGTGACCTGATTAAAAACATGCAAACGCAAGAAAACCACATGGGTGTGGCAGTGCCAGAAGGAATCGTAGCGGCTGGATCGGGGCCCCCCACACCAGGGTTGGGGGAAGTGGACCAGAAATTAACAATCTGCTACAGATCTCTCTCTTGCATTGGGCCTTAGGTAACATGTCGTCCCTCCAAATACAGAAGTATGTGAGCGCAGGGCTTACGTTGACGATCCCATTGTAGAAGGCTTCCAGGGACAGAGTCCCTGGGCCGTCCACCGTTTTCCCGTCGTCCTCCGGGCCCCAGCTGGCGCTGTAGATGTCGATGTGCTGGGGACGGAGACTCAAGGACCGGGCTTCCACAATGTCCGTCACAGGCCCGTCCAGCATCCTCACGCCTGAGAGAAAAAAGCCGAGCGTTGGTTGATTTCTCGGACCACGCTCCCAGTTGCAAACACTTTCCGAGAACCACCCCGGGGGTCCCAGGTGGCTCCAAGGAACCCTCAGACCCGTGCAATCGAGCCCTGATTGGTTCTCCCTCATGAGCCTGATCCACTGCACGCCCTTGTGCGCGCATCACATGGTGCCGTTTTCCGTTCCTTCAGCCTACCCCTGCCTTCCTTCCTCTACAATACTGACATGCACATTGTTAAAACACAGCAAGTGAGCATAGTTCGGACTTCGGAGCATACAAACAGTCAGGTCAAGATTCCTGTTGCGTGGTGCCTCACCAACGTGCAGGACTGATTGTGCGCAACAGGAAAACACCCCACCAAAGGAATCGTACGTATGATCCCATCGAGATAAGCTTTAAGTAGCCCTGACCTGGATAGTCCAGGCAAGCCCGATCTCATCAGATCACGGAAGCTAAGCAGGGCTGACCCTGCAGAGTTCCCTCTACGCTGAGTTAGCCAGCTCACAGTTTTTTAGCCTCCAGCTCACGCATTTTTGTCTCAGCTCAGGAAGGAGGGCTCCAGAGCAAACTAATTTATGCAGGAGCCAAATCGCTCGCTCACAACTTTAATGCCAACAGCTCACAGAAAAGAAAATTTGCTCACAAGACTCCACAGCTTAGAGGGAGCATTGCTTGGAAGGGAGGCCTCCAAGGAATACCAGGGCTGGGATGCAGAACAGGAAGCAGCAAGCCATCTCTCTGAAACATCCAAGCCTCACCAGAAGTCAACCATGACTTCTAGGTATACAAAAACACACACACACAATACAAAAAAAAGAAAAGAAAGATAGGCTTTAAAGTGCAGTGTTCTATCGGCACACATTGGTAACACATTTGGGGGAGGGAGTGGAGAGAAAGATGCACATGAAAGAAGGAACACAAAGCTTTGACAAATGTGGCAAGGTTCATCCATTTCTAGAATTAAGAAGAAGAGAAGAGACTGGACCTATACCCCGGGACTCAAACCCGTTTCTCCCAGATTAGAGTCCACGCACTTAACCACTACACCAAACTGGTGTAGAAGAAGAGGATATTGGATTTATACCCTGCCCTTCACTACCCAAAGGTGTCTCAGAGCAGCTTACAAAGTCCTTTCCCTTCCCCTCCCCACCACAGAGTCCCTGGGAGGTAGGTGGGGCTGACAGAGCTCTGACAGAAACTGCTCTTTTTCAAGAACAGCTCTGACAGAACTATGGCTTGCCCAAGGTCATCCAGCCAGGTGCAAGTGGAGGAGTGGGGAATCAAACCCGGTTCTCCCAGATTAGAGCCCACACACTTCACCACTACACCAAACTGGCTCTCATTCCCCAAATTAAGTGAGAATTAAGGAGGAGCGGATTGCAGCACAGGGAGAAACTCCGGAACAAATCAAGGAACCGAACGGACTAGATTTGCTCAGTCCAATATCAGGCCATCCCAAAAACCTAGAGGTCGCTTACCCCCAATTTTCGCTCTGTATGCAATGCCAGCTCCACAAATGCCATTGTTGGCGGCAGCGGCCACCTCTCCAGCACAGCGAGTTCCGTGCCTGTGGGTGGAAAAGCTGGAACTCAGCATCACTGAGTTAAAAAGAAGTATTTCTTTTTGTCTGTTCTTGCTCAAACTTGCCCATCACTGGTGGGGGAGACACCTTGGGCCAGGCCCCCTCTCTGTTAGCCTAACCTACCGCAGAGGGTTGCTGAGAGGATGAAGTGGAGAAGGGAAATTTATACACAGAGTCAGGCAATGGTAAGCCACCTCTGAACCTCTCTTGCCTTGAAACAGGCCCCGGGGTTTTTTCCAAAAAATTGGAAAAAGAAAAGGGGGAAAATGATTATGGATTATGAATAAAATATTTTAAGACAAGGTGTTCAAATATTTTCCAAATTGTTTCTAAAAAATACATATGGTATCAGATTGATCTAATTTCTGTGCCCTGAGGACAAGCAAGTTCTAGGTTACCAACTGAACTCTCCAATGCAAGAACAAGATGTCATGTCTTCCTTTAGGTGATGCTAGTGTCACAAGGAAAAGGTTTCAGTTTTGTTTTTGCATGTGGGTGGGTATTCTGTTTGTAATAATTGTTTGGATATACTATATTTTTAATATGCTAGTTGTGATCATTTCATGCCAAGTAAAAATGTCTATAGTCATATTTTATGTTCCTAAAGTAACAGAATGACTCTCAATCTGGAAAAGAAAAAAGAAGTGTGAATGTAGCATTTTTTTCAATTTTTCCGAAAATTTCCGTTTTTTTTCTGAGCTTCGAAATTTCCGGAAATTTTACATCTCTAGGCACAGCCCCACCAAAATTTCTCATGCTTCACTGGCATCTCCCCCTGCCTATTTAATTTCAGTGCATGCTAATGAAACAAAAAGAGAGCGGTCTTGATGTGATTTCATAGGCAGTTGTAGGCAGACTTATTTTGTGCAGCGGTTCACCCATGTGCCGCAGAGCATACACACATCAAGGGATCAGCATGCAGAACAGAATCCTATGCATAATCACATCACGAATGCTTTTTGCCAGTGTTTTCTCCGTGCACACCCAGGGGAAAGAAATAAACATGAACAAATGGGACTGAAAGATGCCGCCAGTTCTGGAATGAACATGCCAATCCCAGAATTTGAGAAACTTTCCTAGTTAGACTGTAATACCAGAGAAGCAGAATATGCAGGAATTCCATTCTGACCTGCAGTCAAGGAATAAAGGTAACGGTAAAGGTTTCCCTTGCTCGAAAGCCCGAAGTCGAGACTGACTCTAGTGGGGGTGGTCATCTCCCTTTTCAAGTCGAAGAGCCAGTGCTGTCCGAAGACGTTTCTGTGGTCATGTGGCCGGCATGACTAAACACCAAGGCGCACGCAACGCTGTTGCCTTCCCACCAAAGCGGTATCTATTTATCTACTTGCAATTTCTTGCTTTGGAACTTCTGGGTTGGCAGGAGCTGGGGCCAGAAATGGGAGCTCACTCCACCATGGGGCGCTAGGGTCTCGGACTGCAGAACTACAGACCTTCCGGTTTGTGGTCAAATCTGCATTTGCATTTTTAAATTAGTTTCATGCTGCTGTGACGCCATCTTTCCTCTACGCTTGTTTGAATGTTGCTTGGAGAAGATTCTTTTAAAGCAGTGCAGAGGTGCAATGACAGTGGAGCCGCCCCGAAAGGACGATAAACATATGTGGACGTGCAAAAGTATGCTAGCACTCTTGAGGTGTGAGAACGACACCAAATGTAGACTGCTTTTTTGAAGATGGAGTCAAAAGGCTGGGACACCGGTGGGAAAGACAAATGCAGATTCAGCCTGCATCTCAGCATCTTAACCTCTGTGCCACCGCGGCCCCAAGGAATAGGATGGTAGAAATCTGCTCATTTCCTCCGTGGAACAGGCTCCCATGGGAGGTGGGGGGCTCTTCTTCTTTGGAGGTTTCTAAACAGAGGCTAGAGGGCCATCTGACAGCAATGTTGATTCTGGGAACTTGGGCAGATTGTGAGAAGGAGGACAGGAAGGGTTGCATCAGTGCTTAGTTCCCGTGGCCCTTTCTTACACGCCCAGGGAAATGCTGATTGCCACTTTGGGGCCAGGAAGCAATTTTTCTCCAGGCCAGTTTGCCCGGGGATCCTGGAGGTTTTTTGTCATCATCTGGGCATAGAATGGTGGTCACTGGGGGGGTGAGGGGGAGGTATTTGTGAATTTCCTGCATTGTGCAGGGTGTTGGACTAGATGACCCTTGAGGTCCCTTCCAACTCTACACGATTCTATGATTCTAGTCTGTGTCCCCCCCTCCCACTTCTACCCACATACTGTCTTGCTTTAATTGTACCACTCTTGAAAGCGACGCTTGGGCCGAGCCCCCAAACCAAGATTAGGACCTCACCGATTCTGATCCCAAACATCGTAGCGCGGCTGAGGGTCCGGATCGTTGTCGTTAAAATCGTAACTTGCCAAGGGATCCTGAAAGAAATGACAGAAGGGAACTTGGATGGGAACAGACAGCACGATTGGCAGGAGCAGGTCAGTCACAAAGCTCTGAAAAAGTGCCCGGGTATGATCTGAAGGCGCACGATACGGCAACCGCGTGGGAGCTAAGTTGGCCTCGGTCTGCTTGGAAGATCTGGGAATTCATTGATGGCGATGCGCGCATACGCTCCTACCCACTGATCGAGTACTGCTGAAACAATAACCTCCATGCAATCACAGGTGCGATTTTACTCACATTATTCTGGCTGACGCGCACATGCACTCTGCATGTTGCTAAAACATTACAGAAACAGAACCTTCATAAAACATCACAGGAAAAGAACCTTCATACCATCCCACACAGGATCACAACAGAATAGTTCTTTTTTGCATTTATTTCATCAACCTACAGATATGCAACGTTGAGGCTAGAAGTGATGCAAAGGAACGGAAAGAATGGAGAGAAATGTGGCCGATCACACATGGGTATAATTCAGAAACCAAACAACAACAACAACAAAAAGCAAGAGAGAGTTCCTACTGCAGCATTTCTAGTTTGCAAACTAGAAGCAGTTTGGTATACTGGTTAAGAGTGCGGACTGTAATCTGGGAGAACCAGGTTTGATTCCCCACTCCTCCACATGCAGCTGCTGGTGTGACCCTGGGTCAGTCACAAGTTCTCTCAGAGCTGTTCTCTCAACAGCAGTCCTCAAAAGAGCTCTCTCAGCCCCACCTACCTCACAGGGTGTCTGTGTGGGGAGGGGAAGGGGAAAGAGATTGTAAGCCACTCTGAGACCCGTTCAGGTAGTGAAGGGCGGGGTATAAATCCAGTCTCCTCCTCCTCTGCTTCTTCTCCTTCTTCTTTAATTCTCCTTCTTAATCAAACAAAACTAGACAGTGTGGTGTGCTTGTAGCCGCATTGGCCTAGGACTGTAGGAGTCCCAGATACAAATCTCCACTCTGCCATGAAGCTCACCGAGTGTCCTTGGGCTCCCAGCCTAGCCTACCTCACAAGGTTGTTGCTGAATATAACGTGGAGGAGGGATGAACTACGCTACAATGACCACCTTGGGGGGGGAGGGGTTGAATTAAAAATGTGAAAGATAGATTAGCTAATCTGAAGCTCCAAAATCCAGGGAAGAAATTCAGATGAGGACACTTTCAGAAGCACCCCTAACATCATAAATGCGAGGTGGCAACACAGTCCGGAACTGACTTAAAATTTGATTCATGGACACCAACTGAGGGATTGTTTTTAAGACTGAATTGAATGTTTTATATTGCATTTCGTTTACTGTTGTACATCGCCCAGAGCCCTGTGGATGCAGGGATTGGGCGATTCACAAATTTAATAAAACAAATACATAAATAATGACATCAGAAGCATCATGTGGAGTTGCCTTATAGTGAATCAGACTGACAGTGACTCTCCAGGGTTTCAGGCAGAGATAAGAACATAAGAGAAGCCAATGCTGGATCAGGCCACTGGCCCATCCAGTCCAACACTCTGTGTCACACTGTGGGGCAGAAATACCAGGTGCCATCAGGAGGTCCAGCAGTGGGGCCAGGACATTAGAAGCCCTCCCACTGTTGACCCCCCTCCCCAAGCACCAAGAATACAGAGTATCCTTTGCCCCAGACCGAGAGTTCCCATCTATACCTTGTGGCTAGTAGCCACTGATGGACCTCTGCTCCATATGCTTATCCAATTCCCTCTTGAAGCCATCCGTGCTTGTAGCCACCACCACCTCCTGTGGCAGTGAATTCCGTGTGCTAATCACTCTTTGGGTGAAAAAGGCCTTCCTTTTATCCGTTCTGCTCAGCAATTTCATTGAGTGCCCATGTAATGTATTCATCCCCGACCGCGGAAGCAACCTGGTCGCCACGCGGTCAGGGGAAGCAGCAGACCTTCGGGTATGAGAACAAAGGGTCAAGCGGATCCTAGCCCGCACCAACAGGAGGGCTCGGATCCCGACCAAGAGCCTATGGATCTCTCGGACACTGTAAATAGCCAATCACGGGTGAGTGTTTCCTGGGTTATATACACCGGCCTGTGAGCCAGCTCTTTGTCTTGTTCTGAACTAAGTAAAAGTATGTTGAGCTGAGATCACTCCCGTCTGCATACTTTTCAGCCCATGAGTTCTTGTATTGTGAGAAAGGGAGAAAAGTACTTTTCTCTACCTGCTCTATCCAGTGTTCCCTCCAAGCTGAGTTAGTGTGAGCTAGCTCACAGTTTTTTAGCCTCCGGCTCACACATTTTTGTCTTAGCTCAGGAAGGATGGCTCCAGAGCAAACTAATTGATGCAGTAGCCAAACTGCTTGCTCACAACTTTAATGCCAGTAACTCACAGAGTAGAATTTTTGCTCACAAGACTCTACAGCTTAGAGGGAACATTGGTATCCCATGCATAATCTTGTAAACCTCGATCATGTCACCCCTCAGCCGTTGTTTCTCCAAGCTAAACAGCCCCAAGCGCTTTAAGCTTTCTTCATAGGGGAAGTGTTCCAACCCTTTTATAATTCGAGTTGCCCTTTTCTGCACTTTTTTCCAATGCTATAATATCCTTTCACATCACCCTCTACCTGGTCCTTTTTAAAAGGGAGATGCCGGGGATTGAACCTGGGACCTTCTGCATGCCAAGCAGAGGCTCTGCCACTGAGCCACAGCCCCTCCCCTGAGCCTCTAGCATTGTTTTGTCCAGATTGAACTCCGTAGCACTGACCCAGAAACTTCTCAGCCCCTTAAATGAAAGTTTTTAAAGCTGCTGTCAGTAATGTATGCTAGCTTCTGAATTTCACAAAACTCTTTGTTAGGAAGAATAGAAATGTGAGGAAAAAATATTACATGCAAAATCAGCCAAATTATCCCCCACGCACACACACACACTATGGCTGATAGGCAGGGGTCATTTCCTGCAGGAGCGCACAGTTTTTAAAGCTGCTGTCAGTAATGTATGCTAGTTTCTGAATTTCACAAAACTCTTTGTCAGAAAGAATAGAAATGTGAGGAAAAAATATTATGTGCAAAATCAGCGAAATTATCCCCCCCACACACACACATGGCTGACAGGCAGGGGTCATTTCCTGCAGGAGCGCACAGGAGCGGAGCTCCGGCAGTAAAGAGCCCAGGGGGCGGGCACATGCAACAAGCCCCACCCCCTGCTCCCAGCAGCCCTCAGTCAGAGCAAGAAGCAGCCAGGTAAGTTGCACAGTCCCCCCCTCTCCAAAACAGTGTAGTGGCATCTTTAAGACCAAGTTTCATTCAGGTACAAGCTCTCCCTCCTCTGCAAGGACAGATCTGCACGTTCCCCCCACCCCAGCAATCCAAAACAGTCCAGTGGAGCCTGAGCAGTGGGTGTTGCCTTCTGACACATTTCCGGTGATGTCAGGGGGTGTGGCATATGCAAATAAGTTATGCTAATGAGCTCCTGCACCTCTTTTTCTACAAAATGACCCCTGCTGACAGGGATTATTTTGCTGACATCTGGGAGTTCTGAAATCCCACTTACAACTGATGGGGAAAATTCCTGTTTGACATTTTTTAATAAAGAGCCAGAAAGTGCTGATCTTGATTAAACCACCCCGCTGGAGACCAAAAAGAGCTGATGGTTCACTCAGAAACACCTTCCATAGCCTCACCCCACCCCCCAGCTCTGCTTACGTAATTGACTGCCAGATCCGGATGGTCTTTCTCGATGCCGTCATCCAAGACGCTCACCACCACCCCCGAGCCCGTGTAGCCTCTGCTCCAGGCAGCCAGCACATTGAGGTCTGGCGTCACATCATTGTTCTAAAAAAAGAAATAAGAGAATGGCTTCAAAACGTGGGGGGGGGGGGAGAAGAATTCGGGAATCGTTCCAAATTTCTCCATGCCCCAGTGTCTCTCCACGCCCCAGTGAAGTTCTAAGCTACCCAATCTGTTTTCAAAATAGTGCTGATGTATTACAAATTCTGTACAGGACTGCTGCGGCCTATTAATGGCGATCCACCATCACACGGAAATTTCTTCCGGCCTATAGGCTCCAGAAGGCTTCTACTTTGCTTCAGAACTGGTTCCCACCAGTGTTCCCTCTAAGCTGAGGTAGTGTGAGCTAGCTCACAGTTTTTTAACCTCCAGCTCACACTTTTTTGTCTTAGCTCAGGAAGGGGGGCTCCAGGACAAACTAATATATGCAGTAAGTAAGTGAATTTATTACAGTCATTGACCAGTACACAGTAAAAGAGGTAAAATCCGAAACTTAAAACATTTCTGTTCCCTATACAGGAATATAATATTTGTAAAATACATAAATAAACCACTAATAACCTAAAATATTAAGTAATATAACTTAAATTACTTATAAAATCATCTCTAAAATATCAGCTAGCAAGACTTATCCATATTTTCCTCAGTTTAATTGCCAGCCAACCATACTTAGCAATTTTGAAGGTGACATCTCCGTTTCTATCAGCGAGCATTTTCTTGAGGAGAATTTTTTGATCTTTCCCTGGGAAACTAGAAATTACTGGTACTACCAATGCCTCCCGGAATCTGTTTATAGATTTTACAGTCAAAAATTACATGGCTTGATGTCTCCACACTCCCATCCCCACATGGGCATAGGCATTCTTCTAAAGGTGTCTTCTTATATTTGCCTTCCAGTACTGCAGGAGGAAGTAGCCAAATTGCTCACTCACAACTTTAATGCCAGTGGCTCACAAAGTAGAATTTTTGCTCACAGGACTCCACAGCTTAGTGGGAGCGTTGGTTCCCACCACCACCCCATTCCCCACAATGGCTCCAGAATGGTCCATAAACACAGAGAATAAAGTCTCTCCCTCTCCCAGCAAGCACTAGCATTCAGAGGTATACTGTCACTGAACATTTCTTTCTTTATTTATTATTTGATTTATACCCCACCCTCCCCAACGGGCTCAGGGCGGCTACAACAGAGGCAATTGCCATAACAACAACTAAAACAACATAAAAACAATCATTAAACAGTATAAAACAGTCATTAAGTAAAGTGCGGTGCTCTTGATGTTAAATTTTCTTAATCCAAGATGAGTTCCATTCATCAACCTAACCTAACAAGCATTCTTTGGTTACCTAGGCATCTGCCCAGGGCCGGCTCACCTCCAGAATCTAATCCACCGTAGAAGATGGCAACTCGGTGGTGGTACAGTGACGGTGGCGGCTCCTATGCAAAGGCCTGGCAGAAGAGCTCCGTCTTGCAGGCCCTGCAGAACTGCGCCAGGTCCTGCAGGGCCCGAACCTGCTCTGGGAGCTCATTCCACCAGACAGGAGACACCGCCAAGAAAGCCCTGGCCCTGGTTGCAGCCAGCTTGATGTCCTTGGGGCCGGGAACCACCAATAGGTGCTGCGACCCCGACCGTAGCGCTCTTGGGGGAACATATGGAGAAAGGCGGTCCCTTAGGTACGCTGGACCCTGGCCATCAAGGGCTTTATAGGTAAGAACCAGCACTTTGAAGCGAATCCGGTATGCTATAGGCAGCCAGTGCAGTGCCTTCAGCGCAGGCTGGACATGGTCCCGTCTAGTGAGACCCAACAACAGCCTGGCCACCGCATTCTGCACCAGCTGCAGCTTCCGGATTTGCAACAAAGGCAGCCCCATGTAGAGAGCGTTGCAATAGTCCAACCTTGAGGTGACCGTCGCATGGATCACAGTGGCCCAATCATCGCGGTCAAGGAAAGGAACCAACTGCCGCGCCAGCTGAAGATGGAAAAAGGTTGACTTGGCAGTGGCTGCCACCTGGGCCTCCATCGAGAAGATGGAGTCCAGGAGCACTCCCAAACTCCTAACCCTCGACACCGGCACGAGCGGTGCCCCATCGAAGGCCGGGAGAGGGAGCCCCAACCCTGAACCGACCCGACTTAGGCCCAGGACCTCCATCTTCTTCCATTTAGGTTCCATTTAGCCATCTTGACTAATGGATGGAACTGTCCTCCATGAATGTGTCTAGCCCCCTTTTAAAGCCACCACCAGACCCTGCGAGCAGTGAGTTCCACAAGTCCCACAAGCAGTGAGAGCCAGCATGTTGTAGTGGTTAAAGTGTTGAACTGGGATGCGGGAAATCCAGGTTCAAACCCCCCTTGTGCCATGGAAGCTTGCCGGGGGACCTTGGGCCAGTCACACGCTCTCAGCCTAACCAACCTCACAGGGATGTTGTGAGGATAAAACAGAGGAGCGGAGTATGATGTCAGCCACTTTGAGTCCCCATTGGAACAAAAGGTGGGATATGAATAAAGTAAATCTCTCCTTATATATAATTGAGTAGTGGGTGCCAAAGTTCTAAAATGCGCCCCGTTAGTGTATGTCCGGAAGAACTGCCACTCAGAAGACGCTCCCTGCGCTGCCATTGGCTGGGTGGCTGGGAGGGGAGGGACGAGGTCTCAGTCGCGGTGGAGCGCCTGGATGAGACAGACCAGGTCCCTCGCTCTCACCGTGCTGCCCTCCCCAACGCTCCCGGGCCGGCGAAAGGAGGCCGCGGCCTCTGCTCGCTGGCCTCGCCCCCCCCCAACGCTCCCGGGCCGGCGAGAGGAGGCCGCGG